AGTAGATGCTGAATAATTCATAGTAGATGCTGAATAATTCATAGTAGATACCGAATAATTCAAAGTAGATACTGAATAATTCATAGTAGATACCGAATAATTCATAGTAGATACTGAATAATTCACAGTAGATACTGAATAATTCAAAGTAGATACTAAATAATTCATAGTAGATACTGAATAATTCATAGTAGATGCTGAATAGTTCATAGTAGATACTGAATAATTCAAAGTAGATACTGAATAATTCAAAGTAGATACTGAATAAATGTGCAAAATGTAAATAAAAACAAAATGCAATGATGTGGAAATCATTTAAACCTTTTATTTCATTGAAAATAGTGCAAAGACAACAAATCAACAGCGCTGTTTTAAAACTGAGAAATTTCATTGTTTTTTGAAAAATATTTGCCCATTTTGAATTTGAAGCCAACAACACGTTCCAAAAAAGTTGGGACGGGGGAACAAAAGCCTGGTAAAGTTGTGTAATGCTTAAAAAACACCTGGTGGTTGATTGACAACAGGTCAGTAACATGACTGGGTATAAAGAGCATCTCAGAGAGGCGGAGTCTTTCAGAAGTAGAGATGAGGAGGGGTTCACCACTCTGTGGTGAACAAAGGAGCCCCTGAACTGATGAGCAGCTGAAATCCTGTATCAGACAAGAACAGGAAAACATTTCACTTTCTAATCTACAGCAGTGTCTCCTCAGTTCACAAACGCTTACAGAGTGCTGTTAAAGAAGAGGTGAGAAACACAGTAAACAGTGGTAAACAGGCCCCCGTCCCAACTTTATTGGAACGCGTTGTTGGCATCAAATTCAAAATGGAAATATATTTAAAAACAACAATAAAAATGTCTCTGTTCCAACATTTGATATGTTGTCTTTGTAGTATTTTCCTTTAAAATATGGTTTAGATGATTTGCATTCTGTTTTCATTTACATTCTGCACAGCGTCCCAACATTTTGGAAATGGGGTTGTAATTAGATTTTTTTTTAAACTATGCAGTCCGGTCAAGAACCATTCAGGATCCTTTATTTTTACAGTGCGTTCAGTAGCAGTGAGACTGAGTTAGACATCTCCATCCATTCATCACTTCCAGCACTGACACCCTGGAATGGATGTTCACTGCATACCGTGACCTACCTACAACACACACACACACACACACACAAACACACATACCTACAACCCCCCCCCACACACACACATACCTACAAGCCCCCCACACACACACATACCTACAACCCCCCACACACACACATACGTACAAGCCCCCCACACACACACATACCTACAAGCCCCCCACACACACACATACCTACAACCCCCCCCACACACACATACCTACAACGCCCCCCACACACACACATACCTACAAGCCCCCCACACACACACATACCTACAACCCCCCACACACACACATACCTACAAGCCCCCCACACACACACATACCTACAACCCCCCCCACACACACATACCTACAACCCCCCACACACACACATACCTACAAGCCCCCCCCACACACACACATACCTACAACCCCCCACACACACACATACCTACAAGCCCCCCCCACACACGCACATACCTACAACGCCCCCCACACACACACACAGACACAGTACAGAAAAAGTGTGCTTGTAAAACCAGCTCACACCACATTCACACTGTTATAATACAACAGTCTGAAATAAAGGTGCCACTAACGGGTTCTCTGAGTGATGCCATACAACAGGCTCTCCAGTCCCGATCTCAGGGTCCCCATGTTCTGTACATTTTTGAGTCTCAAACAGCCCCATAATCCCTACAGTGTACTGCACAGTGGGGAACACTGTGCTTTTACACTAGAGGTGTGGCCACTGTGCATGTGGAAGCTATCCACTCCTGGCGCTGCGTGTGGCGCTACATGATTGGTTCATTTTGAACGTGACTGTTTCGCATCACTTCACTTTTCAGGTTTTGTGAAAGGATCGTTGAGGACAGTGGAGGAGACTGTAGTATGACAGTCCCATGTTATGATCATTATGCATCAGCATATGCCTAATAATAAAGCAATAAGCCGCGAGAGGCTGTGCATTACTGTGATTTTATCACGGGGAAGGGTGGTCTTAGGCACGATGCGCACCACTGTCACGTACAGCCTCAAGTGGCTTATTGCTTTTATTAAATGGTGGCCAACATAAAATATGATAAAATACACAAATTTGCAGCAAATAAATTCAGTTTTCAGCAAATAAATTCAGTTTTTGTTAATAATATTCAACATAAACAAGTATTCCGCCAAGAAATGTAGTTCCTTTAGAGTATAGTGTCGTTGCCGAGCAACCATGGCCCGCTGAATGAGGAGAACGTTTGGTTGCCCACTGCTGTACATTGTGGTCATTTCATGATCTTTTTAACTTTTTGTCGTACAACAATATACGTGTGTTATATAAACTGTTGCTTTATAAGCACCTTTTGGTCACCAAAAACCCCCTGCGGGTCTTATTTAGCACCAATCCAGCGGTGCCGCTCTTCTCACACTGGGGCTGAATCTCAAACGGCTCCCTGCTCCCTACATAGTGCACTAGGTAGGAGTTTAAATACTGGATCCTGCAGCCCAACAGTGTTTAATACAGCTGAGAAACAGTCATTTGGGATTCAGACTCATCCACACTCGAAACATGATGCACTGTTTGGCTGCAGAGGCTGGAATTTCTGAACTTTCATAGCTAGAACACTATTTAGGGAGTACGGAGCCGTTTGGGGTTCAGTCTGGGTTTGACACGACTTCTGACTGAAACACGAACATTTGAAGTGTGTAAAACATTCAGGTGACATTTTTAGATTTTTATTTTGCAGTTTTACAGTAAATCACACTGTAAGTGCTTTAATTCAAGCCTGTGATATTAATGATGGAGCTGTTTAGCATGTTTGCTATCTTTTAGCCTGTTAGCTAGCTGACCAGCCCAGTTCTAGATAAGAAAATAAGCTATCAGCCCCTCGGTTTAAACAGAACCGGGTTCTTACTTCATCAGTATACTCAGTGGTCTATGCGAGCAGCATTAGAGTCAAAGATTAGTCCATTAACAGCACAAAGACTTTTCGTGATACAGGGTTCAGTTGCTGTGAGGCGCCATAGATGTGAGTATGTCATGTATTTTACAACAGCTTTGAACGCGGCTCAGCCAATCAGATTTTAGGACCCTAACTACCCGTTTTATGTAACCTAATAAAACCCTCTTTGATAGGACTGGAGCAGGTTGGTGTAATAAGCTCTCCTTTGTGGAGTGAGTGATGGTCCTGTGCTCTCCTGAACGACTAAACACCTTCTTATACGAGAACAGCTCCTTGTTTGCAGGAGCTCCTGCATGGTGAAATGCTGTGTATCCAAAATGTGCTGTTCTTGAGAGTTTGTGTCCGAGGAAAATAAAAACAAGCAGCAGGCGGACGAAGCTGCGCTGACCGTTCTGCAAACCTGCACGCAGAAAAGTGACGTATGGAATTGTACAGTCGATCCACGGTTTGGATGCAACTCTTGTGTGAAAGCAAACCAGCGATAATGAGCCCCTCCCCCAAATGAGCCCAGAATCAGTCCTGAGTGTGCACTCAGTTATCCGGGACCAGGGTGAGAACACCCCTAGATCTTCAGAGAAGTCCTACAAACGCATGTCTGTGATGTTCAGTTAAATCTTCATTAAATAGAATCTTGTTTGTATTTAAACGTATTACAGCACTACTGTCATTGTACTGCAGGGATAGCTCTGGGTGGGATTTGTAACCAGACCATGCTGTAGAGTACAGCCTGGTGAACAAACACAGTTCAACACTGAATGGACTATGTAGGTGTAGAAGTCATTATTTCCTGACCTACATAGTGCACTACGTAGGGAATAGGGAGCAAACGGTGAACTTGTTAATTAGTTAACGAGTTGAATCGGATGAGCTCGATGAGACTCAGCACAAAATTGTGCATACTGTGAGATCACCAGGTCTGGCAGTGAGAAGCCCTGCCTTACAGGAACCTCATTTGGGTCCCTGAAGAACCGCATTTTTAAAAAGCGATTTATGAGAGAAAATACATATGGAATAATTCATAGTAGATACTGAATAATTCAGAGTAGGTACTGAATAATTCATAGTAGATACTGAATAATTCAGAGTAGGTACTGAATAACTCAGAGTAGATACTGAATAATCCATAGTAGATACTAAAAAAATCATAGTAGATACTGAATAATCCATATTAGGTACTGAATAATCCATAGTAGATACTGAATAATTCATCATGTATACTGAATAATTCATAGCAGGTACTGAAAGGTACTGGAACCCCTGCCATAGAAGAACCACTTCTAGTTCCTTACTGAGCCATGTTTTAAAAATAGATTTGTTAGTTTGAAGAATATTTTTAAAGTTTTACCTTCACATAATGAAAGGGTTCTAGATCAATTTAAGGGGTTGTCCTAGAACCTTTACATTATGTTTTTTTAAATGATTTCTGATATATCAGTTATGAAACTTCAAGGACCAGAGTTTAAAATGAGCTGATTGGCTAACACTAGCATGTTTACCTTTCGTTACTTAATGCGTTTGTCCCAGAAGTAGATGAAGGATTTTGTTAAATAAAAAACATTTCTAAACATTTTCTTTCGTTTTTTCATGTTTCTCCAGGGGTTTAAACATGCAGGACACATCAAAGCTTTAATGTAATTAATACTCCTTTATTGAGGAAATGAAAACGTGTTTCCATCATAAATCAGCTGTTGTTGCTTTGAGAAACGTTGAGTTCAGAACTGTTACTAATGAACGTGCAGCGTTTGAGAGTGAAACTCTTCATATACGTTTAGGAGTCAGTTCATCCTCCCCTCGTTCTCTCCTTCAGAAGTGTGTCACCGCTCCCTGGAGTCCACAACTAGCCTTCTTTCTCTTTTCTCGCTCTTTCGCTCCCAAATGACCCACAATTCCTCACCAAACTCTCCCAGAACCCGTTAAAGTCCATTAAAGCACACACTCACCTGCTGACCGGCTGGAAACTCTTCTTTTACTGTCCTCTGTCCATCCTCACTGCGCTCTCTCTCTCGCTCGCTCTCTCCGCTGGGGCTCGTGATGAAGGTAAAGTCACTCAGCAGTCCGACAGGAATAAAAGAGAGACACTTTTCTTCTCCTTTACTTTCAAAAATCCACCGTCAACTCCATCAGTACTCCCTCCATCCCTCTATCCCTCCATCCATCCACAGCGCAACTGAGAACAATCACTGCAACCCCGCCTCTCTCTCTCACTCTCTCTCTCTCTCTCTCTCTCTCTCTCTCTCTCTCTTTCTCTGTCTCTTTCTCTTTCTCTCTCAGTCTCTCTCTCCTCCCTCTATCTCTCTCTCTGTCTCTCTCTCCTCCCTCTCTATCTCTCTCTCGCACTCTCTTCCTCTCACTCTGCCTCTCTCTTACTTACTATCTCTCACTATCCTTCTCTATCTCTCCCTCTATTTTCTCTATATCTCTCTCTCGCTCACTACACCTCTCTCCTCCCCCCTCTTCTTTCTATTTCTATTTCCCTCTTCTCTCTCATCCCTTCATCTACTCTCTCAATTCTCTCTCTCCTGCTTCTCTCCCTACCTCTCTTTTCTTTCTGTTTCTCCCCTCTCTCTATCACACTATTTCTCTATCTATCTATCTATCTATCTATCTATCTAGTCCTCGCTGCCTTTCTACCTTTTCATCTATCTTCCTCCTCTTTGTATCTCTATCTGTTCTCTCTCTCTCTCTACTTTGTCTCTACTCTTCCCCTTTTCCCCATATCCCTACTTTTTCCCTCTCTCTCCCTCCCCTGTCTCTCTCCGCTCTCTCTGTGTGTCTCTCTCCCCTCTCTTGGTCCATACATTACTGCAGTAACTCAGTGTATGTAGTGAGGCTGTAGATCAGTGATGATGTTATGACTCTAACAGGACAGAGAACGTCTGAGTATAAATATCTCTCTGCTCCACTTGTAAGGACTGTGCTCCCTGCTGCTCACGGTTAACCCTTTACTCCTCTCTCTCTCTCTCTCCCTCTCTCTCCTTCTCCCTCTCTCCCCCTCTCTCTCTCTCTCCCTCTCTCTCCTTCTCTCTCTCCCTCTCTCTCTCTCTCTCTCTCTCTCTCTCTCTCCCTCTCCTTCTCTCTCTCTCTCTCTCTCTCCCTCTCTCTCCTTCTCCCTCTCCCCCCCTCTCTCTCTCTCCCTCTCTCTCCTTCTCTCTCTCTCCCTCTCTCTCTCTCTCTCCCTCTCTCTCCTTCTCCCTCTCTCCCTCTCTCTCTCTCTCTCCCTCTCTCTCCTTCTCTCTCTCCCTCTCTCTCTCTCTCTCTCTCTCTCTCTCCTTCTCTCTCTCTCTCTCTCTCTATCTCTCCTTCTCTCTCTCCCTCTCTCTCCTTCTCTCTCTCTCCCTCTCTCTCCTTCTCCCTCTCTCCCCCTCTCTCTCTCTCTCTCCCTCTCTCTCCTTCTCTCTCTCTCTCTCTCTCTCTCTCTATCTCTCCTTCTCTCTCTCCCTCTCTCTCCCTCTCTCCCTCTCTCCCTCTCTCTCCTCTCTCTCTCCTCTCTCTCTCTCTCTCTCTCTCTCTCTCTCTCTCTCTATCTCTCCTTCTCTCTCTCCCTCTCTCTCCCTCTCTCTCTGGTAAGTGGGTCATGGACAGACAGAGGAGAGAGAAGGAGAGCATGACTGCAGATCCTCATGCAGGCTGTGCTCAGATGGCCCAGTGATCCCTCAATCTGTCGCCTCTCACTTCACCACATCTACAGCCTCACAGCCATCATTAGAGCACTAATTATCAGCTCTGATTACTTCATTCCGATAGTGTCAGCGACACCACCTTAAACGGGAATCAGTAACTCCTCTGTTCACAAACAGGCCCCTGAAGTTCCACGTCATTCAGCAGTCGGCATCGTGCCCATGCTGGAACAGGAGCAGGTTGTTCTCTAAGGAGAAAATGAATAGTTTTTTTCAGTAAACAAAGCCGGTACGTTTTATCCTGTGAACATTTCCCCTGGATATGACTGGATCCTCTGAATTACACTCTGTAGCTGAAATACTACATCTGTGCTCCAAGCAGGCTGACACTCCTGGGCACTGAAACGCCATCACACGACAGTAAGTCTACCATTAAACTTCCCCACCGTTATACAGACCATTCTATAGAATTAGTCCAAACCATTAAATAAAACACAGTGAAGTGTCTTAGATATTTACAAGGATTGAGATCTATTTAAACCTGAGACGTTAATCAGGACAGTAACAAGCTAATATCATATACAACGTCATCAATTTTAGGGCACTTTCTGCAGGGAGGAGTCTGTCCCAAACCCCAACCCCTAAAGTCACACTTGTGATTTTTTTCAATGTCTTTATTAATTTAAAAAAAACCTTTTAAAAGTGCTGTCCCATGTTTTCATGTCACTACCTAAACAGAGTTTTAGTGAGTAGGTGGAGCCTTATTTTAGCCACACCCCTGCATTTTAGAGCAGGAAGTGAGGCTGCATCCCTGTTGTTTTGAAGTAAATGTGTCCCAGATGTGCCCCACTGATCGTGTTGTTGTTTTATTTCTAGTTTAGTTCTGTTCTGTTTCATCATGGATGTGTCTCTTCTATGAACATCTGCTTCTCAGTTTTTAGACTCTGTTAAATCTGATTTAATGAAAGTGACTCGCCCTTGCATCCAGCCTCATTGCCTCCTACGTTAGCATGAGGCTGACCACAGAATAATGAAGTCAGAGATCTATATATTCGATCAGCCAAGACATACTGGTGTCTGCAGGCAAGTGTTTGGTGATTTAGTACACAAGCCTTATGTAAACCCACCATCCCCTCATTTCCATTACTGTTTTATAAATATCATCATATGAATTCTCATGAAAGTCAAAAGCCTCATGTCTATGGAATCAAGAAAGAGGTTGTACTTAATAAATGGGCTTTCAAATCACATGGTGAGCAGTTAGATCCCATTGTTTTGAAGTGAATGTGTCCCACAGTCTGAAAATCAGTGTGGAATCGTCATATTTTCTGCAGTTCAGCACTTTTTAGTGTTTTAATGAAAAATATGATTTTCTGTGTGAACAGCTGTTCAGAGCTGTGTTTGCTGCGTTTTTGAGCTCAAAATGAGCAAAAATTGTCACCGAAACATTTGGGTTATGATGGCTTTGGTAGAGACAATCATTAGTTTTAATGAGATAAACATAACAATAATTATTATTGGGTCACTCACATACGAAGGTTTTTAGTCTAAAGTCCAAGATCAGTTAAAAGTCTGAAATGTGTTTCAGTTCTGACTCTGAACCAGTTAGTAGAATCATCCATACATGAATACATGAATATATGGATATGCCAGCTACTCAAACTGCAGCCTAAAACTGCCAAAGCCTCTAAATAACCAAACAGGACAAGCTAACCGGTTTGTGTGGGATATTTTGGTGAGGTCAGTCTGATGATTTCAGTTCAGTGTGCAGCAGCATTAGCTTACATGTAGCAACTTTCATATTTCTACTCATTACTGACCTCATAGTTCACAGGACAACTAACATTCAGAGGGAAATTGTATGGCAAACTGTGTGGACCGTGTTTATTTACCACAGGATGAGAGCAGCGGTTTTATAAAGCTCCTTATATGGGCAGGTGTGACGCCCTGTCTTGTTCCCTCCTTGTCTTTATCTGTTTTAGCCTTGGTTTTCTTGTTTCCTTGTGTGATGTGTGTTTTTGTTTATGTCTGCCATGTGCCTTTGTTGTTGTTTTGGTCTGTTTCCTCCCTGGTCCTGCCCCCTGGTTATCCGCTCCACCTGCCTGTATTCTGTAGCCCCTCCCTCTCGTTAGTCCCAGGTGTTTCTTGTTTCCCCTCAGTGTATTTATACCCCTGAGATTGCTCAGCCCTTTGTCTTGCATTGTCTATGTTACCCTATTGCTGTTGTGTTTTTACTGGTCTTTAGGTTTTGTTTTATCATGGATGAGTCTGTTCAACAAACATCTGCTTCTCAGTTTTTAGACTCTGTTAAATCTGATTTAATGAAAGTGACTCGCCCTAGCATCCAGCCTCACTGCCTCCTACTTTACAGCGTGAGGCTGACCACAGAATAATGACATCAGAGATCTATATATTCGATCAGCCAAGACATACTGGTGTCTGCAGGCAAGTGTTGGGTGATTCAGTACACCTACTAATTGTAAATCCACCTTGGAGCTTGTATTTAATAAATGGCCATTAACATCACAATAAAAATCAGAGATATTTTTCCTCTACTAAAAAGTAAAAAGACATGTTTGGTGTGTGAAGTTTGCTTCTTTAAAGTTCTTTGCTTCCTTTAAGGACTGGAGCTGTGAGGATAGCACTGCTAACATGTAACAGAAGCTTAGTGCTAACCAAATCACTTGCTCCAAACTGAGAAGTATTGTTAAGTATTCTCTAATAGACTTGATTCTGTGGTTTTGGCACTGTTGCTTGGTTTCCCGTCACTAGGAAAACTGACCCAATATGATACTTGTGTTACCAGTCTTAACTAAAGACTTGGTAAATGAATGTCAGACAGGAAATGGGAAAACTTCAAAGCTGTTCTCCTCACAACACACCCAGCTGAAAATCATGAAGCTGATGCTGAGAAGATGAAGACGGGACACATTCATGATTCTGCTTTCCTGTACAGAGCCTTATGCCTTAGATCAGGGGTGGCACATTGAGGTTCTGGAGGGTCACAGTTCTGCAGAGTTTGGTCATTTCCCTGTTCTAACACACCTACTGAATCTGTTGAGTGGAATCTGGTGTGGTTGAGCAGAGGAATCGCAAAACTGTGCTGGACACCGGCCCACCAGAACCCGTGACTGGTCAGTTGAGAGGGACAGTCACTAGTGTGGATGAAGTAGAGTAAAAATAAGAATTTTGATGGAGGGATTTGTCCAAAGCAGAGCACTATTAACAGAGACTACCCAAGAAGTGCAAGCAGACACCTCTGAAAATATTAAAAGAGAAAGTTTACCACTGATAAGAGATGGCAGAAGTACACAAGTCCCCTACCTAAGTGAAAGTACTCAAAATCTAATAAAATGCCCTTTTTTTAGTGAAAGTATAAAAGTACAGTAAAAGGATCAATAAAGTATCTATCTATCTATCTATCTATCTATCTATCTATCTATCTATCTATTTCAAATTCAATTTTTTAAACAGGGTATCTTTTTATTGAGGGTTTTAGAGGTACACATACACCAAACTGAGTTTCAATAGAAAAAGATCTACGCCTTTAAAGAACGTCTTTAGTCTCTCATTGAGCATCCCCTGTACTGTTTGTATCTGAGAAATAAAGACTTTAGAGTCATTGCACAGGATTACCATATTCAGCACTTTTGAACTGCTTTCAGAACTAGAACCACAACCAGAAAGTATTTAAAACAGCTTTCAGGATTAGCGGCGGATTTTGTTTGAATATACTGTTTTACCTTTTGGTCTCAAAAATGCCACTGCTACATTTTAGAGATTTACAGAGATTATCCTGGAGAACTGAAAGACACATGTTTGCTCTACTTTGACAACACAGTCATGCACTCGGGCTCTATGGGTCAACATCACTATCACAAAACAGGATGTGTTTGATTCTCCATAGAGATTTTATAGACTTCTCAATTTATATGCTTCTGCTACTGATGTATGGTCAGACATCTAAACGTAGTGAAGTAGAAACAGCAATACGTTTACTCCATTAAAACTTCCAAAACTTCTTATGAATGCCAGGCTGGTATCATCAGTTTATTCCACACTTTGCAGATGTCCTGGAGGAAACAGATACCTGGGTACTTACTTCACAAAAGGTTTCCAAGTGCTGGCTCACTCTAGCAATCAGGGGTTTCCTCTCAGGATGGCTGAAGCCCCACCGATAGCCAACATACTTACTAAAGTCTCCTTTAAGGAGCTCGGTTTACATCCATCTTCCATACCAGGTCTGATATTAGTGATACGTTGTTTAAAAACTTTCTACAGCTTATCATCCCCAAACCAACCTAGGGATGAACTCAACCTCTCAGATCATTATTGTATCTTTTATAAAGGATAAGCTTCATTTATTAGATCGGATTTCAGAGTTGCAGCCTCTGCTGCTGTGATGATCTTCCTTTTGGTGAGAGAACGATCCAAAAAGCCTCCAGTGCTAATATATCAGACACTACCTCTGCATCTGGACTGATGAGAAGCTGAAAAAGTGCCACCAACAAACTATAAGATAAGATAATCCTTATTATTATTATTAATTAGTCCCACAATGGGGAAATTCACAGTGCTACAGCAGCAAAGGGACAACAAGGCACTCAAGAAAAGAGTAACAAGAATAGAAATTAACAAAGTAATTAACCTTGATAATTACTTAACAAGGTTCCAGTTTGTTACTTTTTTATAGAAAATAAATATAATACTAAAGGTAAAAAAAAGAGATAATATGAAAAATATAAACTCTATCCTTCACATAAACCCAAACCATAAAAAATAACAATGTAAACATCAAAAAAGCAAAAATAAATAAATAAATAAATATTTACACTGTCAGCATAATTTACCCAAACTGTACATGGAGTATATATTATACTGCACATTGAAATAGTGATGAATTAACAGTATAAACATTAAAAATGGTAAAAGCAACAAAATCTTGACCCTTAGAGATATCACTGAGGACCAATGAACAATCATAAAGAGCTAAGTGTTAGCACTAACTGCTACATAGAAGTGACATTTTGCTCACATCAAAGGCAATTTTCTTGCTTTTTATGTTCCTCTCATCATCCAGACCCTGTCCTCTGCAGTCAATGTCCAAGCTCAGTTCATGTTCAGTTCACGTGGGATGATTCAAGGTCGTGTCAGAACTCTTAGCCTGTTTTGTACTCAGCTAGAAGAGATCACTAAAGTGTTATTTGCAGAATTTTCACAGTTCGCGTTATACAATATTACAGTAACAGAGTTAGCATTAGTGACACAATCCATGATCTCTGAAAACAGTGTACTGTGAACCTTTTCAGGAAGGATTCGAAGCATGTGCAAAGGTTCAAATTTGAAAGTGAAGCTCGTAAATCTCCTAAATTGATATTTTACAACAGCATATGACCTTTACTTACTGTAACAATAGAGAGGTAATTGGCCACGTTACTACTTTGGTCAAGCTTATTTGCATCATATCTGTTATCAGCTTCTTATTGGCTCAAGCTATTTTGTCTTTCCTGCTGAGAAAATACCATTAGAACCACTAAGATCAAAACCTGATGGTTTTGCTTTCTAATGGTAATTGGCTTGATGGTTATCATTAGAGACCACTAGTTTTCTGTAGGACACCTTTCAATGCCATTAGAAAACCATCAGATGTTCCTGGAATCAGAATACCTGTTAAACCAGTCCTTTACACTGTGATATCAACCCATCAGGAAAACACACAGTAACACTTTACTGTAGAGTTCTGTTCATAAGACTACATGACACCTAAATAGGGTTGTCATGACAACTGACATAACCCTACATAAAAGTTATTCCTTATTATTCCAACAGGCTTCATCTTCGTCATAACGGCTACTTTAACTGACTGATCAAAATTGGCGAATGTAATCTTTATGGTAAACAACGTTTATTGGAACAGGCATTTATAAACATTTATGTAGGGTTATGTCAGTTGTCATGACAACCATATGTAGGTGTCACATTGCTTTATGAACAGCATCCTAGAGTAAGGTGTTGCCAAACACACAGTACCATTATTGACTATTGGTCACCACCAGGAACCAGCAGAACCGTTTTTCCAGCAGGGTTATCAAACAGCACGCTCTAGTGTCCTTTTTTAAAACTATCACCACATGGACTCATCACAGACGCTGTCACGCTCCTGTAATGTTGGTTATGTAGTGAAAAGAAGGCCTCTCACCGCTGCAGTGCTGTCTAATGTGTGTCTAACATTCCCCCTTTAAGATCTGTTTTGTTACTGAATGTGTTCAGTGAATGCTGGCAGAATTTGATCAATAAAACATTTACAGGAAACAACAGTTTTCCTGCTCTCTTCTCTTCTAAAACTAGATCCGTGCTGTCTAATGAGTCAGGATCTCAGGGGGCAACACTTTTCTGTGTTTTTTACAGTGGTGAACTGTCACTATTAGAGCAGAGCAGCTTTTCTGAACTTTAAAACAGAGTGGCCTAAAGACAAAATTCTTTTGAAGAGTCTAAACAAGTTGCAAATTCTCATGTTGATTGTTGTGTGCAGTGTTGAAAAGAATGTCTAATGGCCTCATTGACAGTCTTGACAAAGGAGAACTTTTTATAAACTCTAGATAGCTGCCTATCATTTTTTCTTCTGTTTACTATGCTTTCCCATGATTGCACATTAGGCTTCACTGGACTACTAAGTGCTTGGACCCCTCAGATTGTCGTTTATGGCTATATTTTGGAATTGGGTTCGTATTTCATGCACTGACAAAACGTTCACGCTCCAATAATGAACCTGTTGTTGTGAATATATTAAGGCAAAGCAAGTTTATTTGTATAGCATCTTTCATACAAAGTGGCAATTCAGAGTGCTTTATACAAACACAGAAAAATAAAAGCATTAAGGATAAAACTTATGAGGTCCTGAGACACCACAGAAAGGCAATTGCAAAAATAAGATTAAGATTGAAAAATCTTAAAAGATTAAGTTGAAAGCAAATTATTAATTATTAAGTGAAAAATTATTGGTACAATTAATGTTGTATGTAGTCATTGTCCACACCCTCGTCAATATTCCTCTCCAATCCACTCATCTGATTCTTGAGTCTTCTACAGATAAGCAATGTCACCAGCAGTATCAGCAACCCTGCCACAAACAGCCCCACCACCAGCAGCGCAATGAAGGAGGGCCCTCCACTCTCATTCTCTGGATAGATAGATAGATAGATAGATAGATAGATAGATAGATAGATAGATAGATAGATAGATAGATAGATAGATAGATCTCACATGCAGTAAATGTTGAATTCCAAAAAGTTGATTCCAAGTCAAATCAGGCTAGTCTTAAGTCAGACAAATCCTGAGTAAACCCAGACTACTCCTGAGTCAAGCCAGGCTGGTCCTGAGCCAAGCCAGGCTAGCCTTGAGGCAATCCAAGCTAGTTCTAAGGCAAGCCAGGCTAGTCTTAGTCAAGTCCCAAGCCCCACAGTTGGTATAGTGCAATGGGTAACACAGATCCCTCCCCACCTGGATAAGCACACCACTCTATATCTGCATTTAAACCATGATTGAAAATATTGTTAAAAGCTTTTGCTCAATGAAGTAAATGTAAATGTAATGGAGGCAAACTGATCCCATGTCAAACTGGACTAGTCTTGAGTATGACAAATCCTGAGTTAAGCCAGTCTGGTTCTGGGTAAAGCCAGGTTGGTCCCAGGTCAAGTCAGTTTAGGCAGGCAGGCACTTGATCCCAAAGGGCATTTAGCAGCCAGTATCAGTCACACAACACAGGAGTTATAATAATAATAAGGGTCAAAAAATATGCAATAAGATCTGTAATTTACTCAGGATTTGTCTGACTTGAGACTAGCCTGATTTGACTTGGAATCAACTTTTTGGAATTCAACATTTACTGCATGTGAGAGGCACTTTTAATAATATTTTTATTTATGATACAAATGCAGCCAGATATAGCATAGAATGCTTGCCCAGGTGGAGAGGGAGCTGTGTTACCAAATACACTGTAACAACCATGAGGCTTGGGACTAGCATAGCTTGGCTCGAGACTAAACTAGCTTGACGCAGAACTATTCTGACTTCACTCAGGACTAGCCTGGCCTGCTTCAGGGCCAACTTGACTTGCCTAAGGACTAGTCTGGCTTGCCTCAGATTAGTTTGGCTGGACACAGGACTAGTCTGGCTTCAGTTAACACTAGTCTGGTTTGACTCAGGACAAGCCAGAACAAAGCCTGCCCAAGGACTCTTATTGGTATAGCTAACATCTATACCAAAGAAAAGCAAACATGCATACCTATGCAGGGAAATTGCTGTATGGAGAGCAGTGGCATTAACCACTACATTACCTAATAACACAATGTAAATGGGTCCAAGTGGATTGGATCCTAAAGGGCATTTTTTAAGGATGACATTAGGGCAGATCAGCTCAGCATGGGGACCAACATGGTCACCTCACTGGAAAATGGAAGTGTGAAAAGTACCTGTTCAAGACAAAAAGAGAGTATGAAAGTGTGTGTTTACCTTTCAGGATACACTCGTTGCTGTGGCGGGACTGGCCTATCCCCTCAAATTTGGCAGAGCAGGTGTATGTCCCAGCCCCCTTAGAGCTGATGTAGTAGTCAGACTCCTCCAGCACCACTGTTCGTGTTTCTCCAGGGGGAGTGTAATGCCAGCGGTAGGAGTCAGAATCTCTACACTTCTGGCACTCACAGTACAGTTTCTCACAGTCCAGGTGGGCCATAGGAGGACCGTCTACCACATCAAACACATTAGTCATATATACAGTCATGGTAAACAAATACCACATGAAACTGTTGAATGAAACTTTTTCCCCCAAATAAAGCAGGAAATATAAATTCCTTAGGTAAAATATATTACGCATAAATGTATCTGAATGTTATAAATGTTTTATCAATGATGTGAAATGATATGATTGTGTTATGAATTTGTTATGAATGCTTTTTTGATGCATCATGAATGTGACATGACTGTATTATGAATGGATTATGAGTGTTTATGAATTATTATGAACATATTAATATCATTGCATCATGGCATCACTGTGATTTGTTTGCAATCTTATTCTTGTACTGTATTGTCACTGTGTGTTGTTTTGTGTTGGTGCTGTTATTATTGTGTTTTTTGTTACCTATGACTTTGAGAAGCTGTTGATCAGAGGGCAAGCTGCTATGGGTCAGTGCCTCTTTACTGATGTGGATGAACCTGTAGGTGGCGTTGCAGGCGTACATGCCTTGGTCAGACTTGGCAACATTTGAGATGACAACTGTATCCTTTGGTGCATCCTTTTTGATTTCTGTTCCATCCTTATAAAACACAGCCTGGTCCACATGTGCACCACCCCACACATCACAGCTCAGAGAGACAGTATCACCTGACCACGCTGGCCTTTGGGATATCTGCAGCATCACCATTTTCTCTGAGAGAAAGACAGACAGAAAAGTGGGAGGAATTGGTTCATTCATCATGAACTTTACACACAATGTAAAGGGCAACAGGTACAGGTTCACACACACACACACACACACACACACACACACACACACACACACACACACACACATATATCAGTTCATGAAATTTCTTCCCTCCTAGATATTGAACAGTGGAAGCATTTAGGAACCACAGCAACTCAGCCAGGACGTATCAGCCCACATAAAGTTACAGAGCGGGTCTCAGAGTTCTGAGGAGCAAGAAGCATAAAAGTCTTCAACGCTCTGCTGATCAATAACTGCAGAGTTCAAACCTCCTCTGGTATCAACATCAGCACAGAAACTACACCAGGAGCTTCATGACAGGGTTTACATGGCCGAGCAGCTGCATATAAGCCTTACATCACCAAGCACAGTGACAAGCGTCGGATGGAGTGGAGTAAAGCGCCACCACTGTGGTGCGACAAATCAGCTTCTCTATCTGTCAGTCTGATGGACGAGTCTGGGTTTGGCGAATGCCAGGAGAACGTTACCTGCCTGACTGCACTGTGCCAGCTGTAGAGTTTGGTGGAGGAGGGATGATGATATGGGGCTGTTTTTCAGGGGTTGGTCTAGAACCCTCAGTTCCAGTGAAGGGAAATCTTAATGCTTCAGCACCAAGACATTTTGGACAGTTGTACACTTCCAACTTTGTGGAACACTTTGGGTAAGAACCTTTCCTGTTCCAGCATGACTGAGCCCCAGTGACCAAAGCAAGGTATAACAACTTGTTTGGCAGAGATACTGATTTGGGCATCCTTAATATTTTCTGTTTGAGGAGTGTTAATCCTTAAGAGAAAAAATATACATATTCCACTGTCATGATTTCTAAACACAACAATCAGGCTCTTGGTCCCCAGTTTAGTGGCTGCCCATGGGTGAGGGGCAATGAGCCACATTCATAAAATTTGTTGATAGCAGCGCTATACAACACAAAATGTGCAGCACTAAATAAGAGCTATTCATGAAGACACCAAGCCAGTGATTAACACACCAGTGTCTTTTTAACATTGTGGCATTTTCACCAGTATCCTAGCTAAGAGCCAATCATAATACATATTTAAATGAGGCCATACTGTCACACATTCAGCAAACTCTCAAGAAGACTTCATCTCCCAGAATCCCATGGGAGATCATGAGACTGAGCAACCTCACTCGGAATCGGACTCAGACAGAGACTCCATTGCCCATACTGCAATGGGAGCTCACGTGACTTCTGACTCTCGTCTGCGCTCTATCAGTGCTCACATTGCCCAGATTACTAACTGCTTTCACCTGTGTGTGTTGTCATATGACCAGAGATAGTAGTATATAAGCCCAGGCTTTAGGTAGCTTCTTTGCGAGTTATTGTTTCCCTGAAACCTACTGATTCCCGGCTGGGTGACCAGGGTCGTTTCTGTGTGGAGTTTGCCTGTTCTCCCCGTGTCTGCGTGGGTTTCCTCCGGGTACTCCAGTTTCCTCCCACAGTCCAAAAACATGCAGTCAGGCTAAGTGGACATGCTAAATTGCCCCTAGGTGTGAGTGTGTGTGACTGTGTATGTCTGTCTGTCTGCCCTGCGATGGACTGGCGACCTGTCCAGGGTGTATCCTGCCTTCCGCCCAATGACAGCTGGGATAGGCTCCAGCACCCCACCGCGACCCAGAAGGATAAGCGGTTTAGATAATGTATGGATGGATGGATGAAACCTACTGAGCGTTGTATTCCTGATTTCCTGTATTCCGTGTTTTTGACCACTGCTTTGTTTATTCCGTTTCTGACTTTTGCTTTGTCCTTTTGTACTTTTGCCTTTCCTGACTGATCTGTGTTTTTGAATCCATTGGCCTGTTTTATGGCTACGATTTTTGCTCTGCTCCTTTGATTCCGGTTTGTTGTTTGATATTAAACAACCATTGACCTTACATCCGCGAGCGTCTGGTTTCTGTTGACTTGTCACACATACAATTTAAAAACCGACCAAATGAAGTTCTATTTGGCTGCCAAAATGGAGACAATGAAAGAAATAAATAAAAAAAGACGCAAAGAAAATCTAATTTTTCAGAATCAGAGCTTCAAGAGAAGTTTTGCAAATATGAGTGAACTGTTGGGCAATATGCTTTTAACTGTTAATCAAGAAACAAAGATTTTTTATCAGAAAATGTTGATACTGGAAAAAATTACATAAAAATAGAATTAAAAATGTAACAATTTTAAACTTTTAATTATAGGGATTATATTTTGGTATGCATGATTTAACTTGTCACTGGTAATAATTCAAGCCTTTTTCTAAATCCATATAATTGCAGTAACAAGTTTTACTAACATAAATTAAAGTTTAACATTTGGTATATTTATTACCATTAAAGATTTAATTGACATGACGAAAGTCTATTTAATATGGCAAGATTTTTTTTTTTTTTATTCAATTTGCACATTAGAAAATATCACAAACAAATATTATTGTATAGTCCAAATTCAGTTTTGACTAGAAAGAAATGAATTTTCACTATGAAATCAAAAAAAAGTCTTAAAAGCTAATACTGCTCACAACAAAAAGGAAAGAAAAAGATGCTTTTTAAATTCAGGTCCAGTAAATCTGTCAGTCTGAAATTCTGCTCCAGCAAATCTTTTTTCTTATCTGCTCTCCTACAACAGCAGTTAGAAAACTACTGCCAGAATAGTTCAGGTGTTGTTTTGTGTCGTGTTATGAATTGCTATGATCACATGTAAAGGAAGGGAAAATGCAGCAACACCTCACATCACACAGGCAGTAAAACATGCCTATATTCCCTGTTACAGCCAGGCTGTTCACTCCTAATGTCACAGTAAATCTGGCGGTGTGTTTTATGTATTTAGCCACTGTGTTTGTCAGTCCTGGTCCTGGGAAGCTTTTAGTCTGCATGTATCTTCGTCAAACCATTCTGTGCCTTACAGCAGGTGTTGTTGCATGAAACCACACAGAGCATGAACCCACTCAGGGCCTCAGACTGAGCGCCTCTGGAACTGAAGATCTCACCTGTAGCTGTGAGCTTGACGGTGTTACTGCGTGGACGCTCCTCCTTTGGTCTCGCCTTGGTGTTCATGCACCAGAAGATCCTGTCGCCTACATGTTGAACGTCAGCGTGTGTGACCACACTGCGGTTGCTGTTCGTCCACTTCTCTGGCAGGATAGGGAGCCACTTTTCACCTTCACCTTCTGTATAACGACACCACCAGTCCTTCAGCCCCTCCTCCACGTAGAGCTCCATGAGAACCACACCTCCTTTACCTAGAACAGTCTTCGCTCTGTTTAAAAAAGAGAGCGACGCCAGGGGCACCATGTCTGCCAGAGGAGGAGGAGAGAAAGAGAGAGAGAGAGAGAGAGAGAGAGAGAGAGAGAGAGAGAGAGAACTGAAAATATAGCACATCAGCCACAGCATAATATTTATAAAAATGAAGAAAGGTTTCATTCAAAATTTACAATCACTTATTACACTTTATTATACTTATTATACAGATATTTATATTACTTCTTATTTCTATTCTATACAATTAAATCTTATAAACTAGACACCAAAAGGTATTATAAAGGTTTTATGCAATATTTTAGAATAACAATGAGTTGTTGCATACTGTAAATGCTACACTGTAATTATCTATCTATCTATCTATCTATCTATCTATCTATCTATGTTTCTACCTCAAGATCACCACTTTAATATTATTTCAATTAAATTAAAGTAAAAATATTAGAATGTCTTTCTGAATATTATTTTTATTAAAACTTTATCTTGGATGTGATTTTTATTAGAACTTCATTCCAGATATAATTTTATTAGAACGTCATTCTGGATATTACTTTTATCTGAATTTTATTTTGGATGTTAATTTTATTACAACTTCATTTTTGATGTTCTACAGCCTTCTCAGTCCTTTTAGAACATTCTACAGCTCTGGTCATCATTCTGGACACATCTTACATAACCTTCTAGCTTTTTTAACACTAAGAAACAGCATGGGACAAACATACTTAAATGATTTTAAATATTTATATAGTTTAATTTTGTTGAAAGCATTTGAGCATGATGCTAATTGTTAAAGTATAACTTGATTACGTTTTGTAGCTACTTTAGCCTCATAGCTCCAGCAATAAAAATAAAGAAGCAAACTTCACTTTTTGTTGACTACATTTCAGAAAAATGAGGAAAGTTTTTACAAACTATTGCTTTTTTATTATATTACAACTTGCAATTAAAAAAATGGGGCTGGGGCAATTTAAGACTATGAACATTGTGTAGTGTTTAGAAAACATTTTAAAATAGGTGTTGTAATCATACAAAGGAGCAACCAGGAAAAGCTGAGTCCTTTAAGAGTGAGCATGGATCGAGGCCATTTTGCCAAAAATGCATCTGCAAACAATCCAACACTTTAAGACCAACGTTCCTCAGAAATCCGGGATGCATAAAGGAAAAGGCCAAAAAACAAAACTGAATGCCTGTGACCTTCGACCCCTCAGACAGGACTGTATTAAAAACCAGCATGTCTCTGTAGTTATATCACTACATGGGCTCAGTAATACTTTGACAAAGTGTCGTCAATAAACGCTGTTCAGTGCTGCATCCACAAATGCAAGTTACTATGTACAGTGGAATGTCCAGAAACACGGCCAACTTCTCTGGGCCTGAGCTCATCTGAAATGGACTGATGCTCAGTGGAAATGTGTATTGTGGTCTGACGAGTCCAGATTGTTTATGGAAATAATGGACGTCTTGTTTACCAGGCCAAAGAAGAAAAGGACTGTCCAGATTGTTACCAGCATAAAGTTTAAAATCCAGCATCTGTCATGGTGTGTGGGGGGGTATTAGTGGGTAACCTGCACATCTGTGAAAGCTTCATTAACACTGAACACATTTTGTAGAGACATAAGTTGCCCTTTAGATTACCTCTTTTTCAGGGACGTCCATATTTATTTCACCACGACACACCAAAAAAACATTCTGCACGTTTTATAGCAGCACGGCTGCATAATCAGAAAGTGCACGTGACATACTGACCTGCCTGCAGCCCAGGACTGTCCCTACTGAAAACGTGTCCTAAGCTCAAAATACGACAACAAAGACCCCGTATGGTTGCACGGTAGAAGACTTAATAGATTTCCTTAATTCACTTTCAAACTGAATCAGTTTGTGTCTTCAGTCTCTACACATTTATTAAATGCTGTTAAAAAAGTGTAAACATCCATCCATCCATCATCTAAACCGCTTATCCTTCTGGGTCGCGGTGGGGTGCTGGAGCCTATCCCAGCTGTCATTGGGCGGAAGGCAAGTGTAAACATGCTTCTGTAAAATGTTTTTTGGAATGTGTTGCAAGTGCATCAAATTAGGAATGAGCATGTGTTTACACCCCACAAAAAAACAACAAATATTGTTACATTATTGTTTTATTATTGTTCCTATTGTTATATTGTACAAATTACAGTATAGTTTGTACCATTATTAATTTAATACAGGTCAAACAAAATTTGCTAATCACTCTTTTCTGTTTTGATTTGCTTTTCACACACTGTCCCAATTTTTTTTGTTTTTTTAATTTGATTTTGTATGTGGTTGTTGATTTTTTAAATGTTGTGATGTCCTACCCAGCACTGTGATCTCCACTTCATCACTCCTCTTGCCTCCACTCTCACAGGTGTACCTCCCTGAGTCCGACACTGTCGCCGCAGCAATTTCTAACTTGCCATTTCGAATGTTGTCGGAGAGCTGGACTCCATCTTTGTACCATTTTACATCATTGTTGTGAACAGTGTCGCCATCCTTACACCTCAGAGTGACCTCATCAGCCACGTACAGACGGTGAGGGGGGAACCCTGGAAACAGGGACACTGAAAGAGAGAGAGAGAGAGAGAGAGAGAGAGAGAGAGAGAGAGAGAGAGAGAGAGAGAGAGAGAGATGGTTTAGTATTCTGGTTATACTGTTGTATGCAAAAATATGGGCACCCCTGCACAAATGACCTGTTTTGTTGATTTTCTAAGACTGGCTTTTTTGTTTCGAGACTTTTGTGCAACTTTGGTTGTTTGAAATCGACATGAAAGTAAATTTCACTTGAGTTGCATAATGTAATGCATGCTCCAGCTTGGTTGAAACTCAGCCGCAAGAGTTGCACTCAACTTGACTTCATGAATCAAACGTCATGAAAATATCAAAATGCTGATAACGCATCTTGAGATCAAACAATATAAATTCAAATCACTGATTTTGCAGGTTGGTAGTTTTTCATTTTGTCAATTGTTTTGAGCCACGAAGCTATTGTTTCTGTAAACGGCAGCTTTAACATGCCAGCTAATGCTGACAGCTGTTTAAATGGCTGCTTGTGCCATTTATTCTTCTTTAGTCAGTCATCATGATTTATGTAGCTAGATGAATTTTCTCCTAACTTTATGCCCCCTGTTGTTTACAGCAGTTTAGCCTCGCCCATTCAGCCTACATCAGTTTAGCTCCACCCATTCAGGCTATGGCAGTTTAGCCCCACCATTCAGCTACAGCAGTTTAGCTCCACCATTCAGCCTACAGCAGTTTAGCCCCACCTTTCAGCTACAGCAGTTTAGCCCCACCCATTCAGTCTACAGCAGTTTAGCCCCACCATTCAGTCTACAGCAGTTTAGCTCCACCATTCAGTCTACAGCAGTTTAGCCCCACCATTCAGTCTACAGCAGTTTAGCTCCACCATTCAGCTACAGCAGTTTAGCTCCACCATTCAGCTACAGCAGTTTAGCCCCACCATTCAGCTACAGCAGTTTAGCTCCACCCATTCAGCTACAGCAGTTTAGCTCCACCCATTCAGCTACAGCAGTTTAGCTCCACCATTCAGCTACAGCAGTTTAGCCCCACCATTCAGCTACAGCAGTTTAGCTCCACCATTCAGCCTACAGCAGTTTAGCTCCACCATTCAGCCTACAGCAGTTTAGCCCCACCCATTCAGTCTACAGCAGTTTAGCCCCACCATTCAGCTACAGCAGTTTAGCTCCACCATTCAGCTACAGCAGTTTAGCCCCACCATTCAGTCTACAGCAGTTTAGCCCCACCATTCAGTCTACAGCAGTTTAGCCCCACCATTCAGCTACAGCAGTTTAGCTCCACCATTCAGCTACAGCAGTTTAGCCCCACCATTCAGTCTACAGCAGTTTAGCCCCACCATTCAGTCTACAGCAGTTTAGCCCCACCATTCAGTCTACAGCAGTTTAGCCCCACCATTCAGTCTACAGCAGTTTAGCTCCACCATTCAGCCTACAGCAGTTTAGCTCCACCATTCAGCCTACAGCAGTTTAGCCCCACCCATTCAGTCTACAGCAGTTTAGCTCCACCATTCAGTCTACAGCAGTTTAGCTCCACCATTCAGCCTACAGCAGTTTAGCTCCACCATTCAGCTACAGCAGTTTAGCCCCACCATTCAGTCTACAGCAGTTTAGCTCCACCATTCAGCCTACAGCAGTTTAGCTCCACCATTCAGCCTACAGCAGTTTAGCCCCACCCATTCAGTCTACAGCAGTTTAGCTCCACCATTCAGTCTACAGCAGTTTAGCCCCACCATTCAGCTACAGCAGTTTAGCTCCACCATTCAGTCTACAGCAGTTTAGCCCCACCATTCAGCTACAGCAGTTTAGCTCCACCATTCAGTCTACAGCAGTTTAGCCCCACCATTCAGTCTACAGCAGTTTAGCCCCACCATTCAGCTACAGCAGTTTAGCTCCACCATTCAGTCTACAGCAGTTTAGCCCCACCATTCAGCTACAGCAGTTTAGCCCCACCATTCAGTCTACAGCAGTTTAGCCCCACCATTCAGTCTACAGCAGTTTAGCCCCACCCATTCAGTCTACAGCAGTTTAGCCCCACCATTCAGCCTACAGCAGTTTAGCCCCACCTATTCAGTCTACAGCAGTTTAGCTCCACCATTCAGTCTACAGCAGTTTAGCCCCACCATTCAGTCTACAGCAGTTTAGCTCCACCATTCAGCCTACAGCAGTTTAGCCCCACCCATTCAGTCTACAGCAGTTTTGCCCCACCATTCAGCTACAGCAGTTTAGCCCCACCATTCAGTCTACAGCAGTTTAGCCCCACCATTCAGCTACAGCAGTTTAGCCCCACCATTCAGTCTACAGCAGTTTAACTCCACCATTCAGCTACAGCAGTTTAGCAGTTTAGAGAGAGGTTGTAAAATTATCATGTACATATAAATTATGACTCTTTCTCTGTATATAAACATACATGAACACTATTAAGTGGACCACAGGGAAAAAAATTAAAATTCAAATAAATGTAGAATTTTATTCCAAGTAGTTTTTTAACCATTTCTATTGGTTTATTAATCATGAAACATTCACATAATACAAACAGTAACCTGTGTTTTCAAGTTATATAAAAACGTTATGAGGTCGTATGTTTGTGTGTACACCTACCTTTTAGTTGTGCTTGTCCTCTTGCAAACACCAAAAACACTTAAAATGGAGAAGATCTATCAGTTAGTATTCATGACACGCCCACTGCCACATACAAACACCCCAAACTCTGTCAGCTGCACTCCAGAAGAAAACACTGATTTGAAACAACATAGCTCCTATTAATTAGAATTATTATAAAAATAGTTCTTCAATGAAACTGATATTCCACAAATTATTCATTTTTTTTCTGCATAATTAGATGGTTAAGATGTAAACAGAGTCATTCAGAGTGGTTTGGTGTGAAACGCTCCGTTCTAGAGAAACTTACTGAGTCAGAACTGTTCACAGTGGTGGTGATAGGAACCAGACGTCCACCTCTAAAAGCTCCCTCACAGAAAGTTCCTACATGAAATGGTTATGAATTCACTGCCTGATGACTGAGACACTGTTTTATGATAGTTTAGAGAACTTAAACTCCATTCATGGTGGAGGGATACATGCAGGGCGCTGTGAGGCAAAATAGTCCCCAAAGAAAACTTATTATTTCAGATTTTCCACTATTTTTATTCACCGCCACTGTAAAGAAATCTATGTCTCAAGCTACACTTGAGTAGCCATGCTACTTAGAGCACAAACTAACATCAAATTATTGGCCATAGCCGAGCAAACAGAAACCATAGCAATATAGGAGGTACACTTGGCAGCATACCTTATTGTACTTAGCCACACTAGACAAATTAAAATGTACATCACTGGTCCCAGCAATTTGGTATGCTTTGTGACACAGTGAGAAGGCTGAAGCCATTCTCAATGCCTCTAAGCCTTTCATGGAAGGTCTGCAGTTTGCACTGGTGCTGGAACCATTTCAATGGTTCCTGTTCCATGTCCCCAGCTGGAATCAACAGAGTTCCTATTGGGTCCTCTGGACTTGAAAGACATCTTCCTGAAGGCCTGCTTGTGTCCCCCACTCATGTCTTTGCGAAGAAGCGTCTTTTGTATGCCCCCGTTGTTAATGTTAGCAGCCCTAACATATGGCTTCCTCCTCGCCATGTAACTGCCACTGTACAATCAGTGGTAATGACATCAGTGAGAAGAGCGACACCTGTTTCTGTCGATTGTTCTTGGGAAGATTGTTTGGTTTTTGTCTCCACACAAGACGTGACTGTGCACTAGTCCTTCTGATGATCTTCCCATTCCTGGGGGGTTGACAGAACAGGAGGTTTCACATGCCAAAGCCCTTTTCTCAAAGTATGGTAGCATATTTTCCAGAGGAGGACACTTGAGTTGCACCACTTTGAGACTCATGAGATTCTACTGCTGGATGATGTTCCAGTGCACCAGCCCTATCGAAGGCCCCCCACACACACCTCAATATGAAACCATAAAAGTTCATATTCAACAGCTGTTGGATAGTCAGGTTATTAGAGAAAGCAGTAGCCCTTACTCTTCTCCCATTGTCTTAGTGACCAAGAAAGATGGAAGTTTTGTTGACTATTGACAGTTGAATCCTAAAACACGCCAGATATGATGCACATCTCCTTCCCAGGACACAGTAGTCTTTAGGTGCCCTCTCTGGTGCAAGATGTTTATCCACTCTTGACTTAGCTAGTGAGCTAGCTCTCTGAGTCAACAGAGAGTAAGGATGGTTCATGAGCATATAAGGCAGAGATTGGAGAAGCAGACTCACAGAGGAAACAATGATCAAGTGAATGACTCTGGGTTTAAAGAAGGGCAGCTTGTCTATTTGCGGAATTGTGTATTAGGCTGGACTAAGGTCCAAGATTACTGGAATTCCTGTGTGTATCAGTTAGTCTGAAGTCCATGATGAACGGAGGTTGTACATTCAGTGGCCCAGGATCCTTATGAAGAAGGACTGGTTCAACAGGTGCACCAGTCTAAGTTGAGGGCAGTTGCAGAAGGGCAGCAACATGGGATAGGGGAAGCGACCCCTATAGGGCTGACTCACCAAGTCTGAGTCTCTACAGAAGACGTATCAAGAAACTCAATAAGAGGACCCCAAGAGATACATGAGCCACGCAGGTCACTTAACCCTGATGAAGTGGATGTCTTACCTGCATGCATTCCGCTACACTCTTCAGCTATATCTACTGCAGGCCAGCATTCAAACCCTCAGAGGCTGCCATGAGCAGCTGTGATCAGGAGGAATGTTAAGTAGAGGCCACCAGATCTTGAACATTAACATGCTTTAGTAGAAGGTGCCATTGTCGGACTGCCAATTCATTTGACGGGGGTGGATTGTAGCCAGTGTAGTTGATGACCTTTTTTGTGGGGTATATGTCATTAATTAGAATGGGAGTGGGCATGTAACATAAGAGCACTGTATTCCGTACCGTACTTCGGCACTTTTCCCGTTTCAGTAGTTATTGCGGAAATACCCGAAGTCATACACGATTTAATGATTGGTTGGACTCTGTAAAATCCGCCTAGCAACCAATATGCACTTTGATTGGTCACATTTGGGCCAATACTTTTAAAGAAATAAGAAAAGAGCATCATCTGCGTCATCAGTTTGTGCCGTCAGTACTCCCTACACCAGCTTCCACAGAGGGAGCGGTTTTCCCTGCAGTGTTTTCCCTGCAGTTTATTAGAAGTTTATGAAATCTAATTGCATAAAAACAGACATTAACTGATCATACTGATTATAAAATTTTATAATATAAACAATATGTGCAGTTAATGAAGCTACCTTGGAAAAAAAGCCCAGTAAAGTGAGGCAGTGCTGTGAAGCTGCGCTGAAAGGAGTCTGCTGAGGTAAATTAGCTGACGGTGTAAACTCAGATTAACAGCTCAGTACTGAACACGCTGTGTTTCATGGTGATAATCCACTGTTTAATATTCGTTTTAGTGTTAAATATGATGTTTAAACGTGCTAAAATGTATTTTAACTGGCTGTGAAAGTTTCCCCACCCCACTTACATTTGCATCCCTGGGTTTCCCCACCCGCCATGTTCGCGTGGCGCTGGGGGGGTCGGTCACTATTTGCATAGATTTGATGTCCAAACCCAGCTTAGATGGTCTTACCAACCGATTTGATGGAAAAAAGGATATATGATAATGTCTCAGATGTGTTGTTGACAAATGTCAAGAAAGTGGTTTTTATTACACAAACAGGAAAATTTGCATGTGTTCCACCTGTCATAGTGGTATTTAGCAATTAAAGTGGGTTCCTTCTTGGCTAGTGTCGAGGTATAGGCGAATGGGCATGGAGACGCCATGGGTTCTGTTAGCATTGGCCATTTGGAGCCAAGCTTACCAGCGGCAGTGTACATTTTAATTTGCGCAGTGTGGCTAAGTACAATAAAGAATGCTGCTGAGTGCATCACCTATGTTGCTATGATTTCTGTGCTCAGCTGTGGCCAGTAATTTGATGTTTGTGTTCTGTTAGCATTTAGCTAAGTAATTAGCATTTAGCCTAGCTTCTGATTCACATTATCAGCCTTATTGCTACACTGGGTATGTTTTCACTCTGTATTGTCCAAATTGTTGTTTTGTTTTAGTCAGTCACTTGATATTTAGTTAGCATCCGGCTAAGTAACAGTGCTGCTTCATGAAGGGTTCACACAGCATTTGAGTGTAGCTTTCAGCTTCTTTTGCTAGCCTTATTGCTGCTTTTAATCACTACTGCTAGCTTTTTAATTTTTTTTTATTTATTTTAGACTTAAGTACATTTTCCTGAGCCAGCTATCATGTTATTCCTGGGAGTGTGATACGTTTTGCCTTACATTGTTAATACTTTGTGAAAAGTACACTAAGCCTATTTGTGTGTGTCTCATTTACTGAACGATGCATAGAAAATCCCACTCTGTGTTTATCTGTTTGGTGATCATATAAGTGACCTAAAATTTTATAATTTTTTCAAGTACTGAATTAACGCAGGACATGATGGCAAAACGTGACACAACCCTAGAGTCCACTCTACATGTATAGATGGTTTCATACCGTAGAGCACTCCCAGCGGCTACACTTACTTTCCTTAAAAACAGTTCAAGGAGGCAAAACATCTCTTTCAAGTACACAACTCCAAAAAGAGAAGTAAACATCTGCACAGAGCTGAGAATCCTCAGATTCCTCTTTCACTTTAACACAGTTTAAATACAAGCTGGATTCTGGGAATCATTAACACTGCTTTTTGAGTGAAAAAAGGAACTGCACCACAGAGAACTTTACAGAGTCTGTGACTGTATTCACAGCACAAATTCAAACAGTATGTGTAGCTGAACGAACTTGTGAAACAGCTGGAGCTGCATCCAGTAGAAGCTCCAATATTATACAGTGTTTTATAAGCACAGTTTGAGCCAAATTACAAAGATCAACAACTTTACAGAAAACAGCATGTTTAGCTTTTAGGCTTTTAAATGTATTTATGTTTACTTACTCTAAAGTTAAACTGAGTTTTCACTACAACACACTGCCCAGTAAATAGTTTTAAAAGGTAAAGACTTCCACTGAGCTGTTTACTGTGAGCTCGGTTTGCAGTGTCAATCTGCAGGATTACAGATGGACAGTGCAGTGACCATGCAGCAGCTGGCATTTTCTGATGATACAAGGCTGGACCTAAAACCAAACTCACAGTTTACTGAGGTGCCACACTTGATGCCACACTGACCACCATCACACTCCAGACTAAAGTCATCTTAATCTTAATCTGATCTTAATCTGCATTCAACACTGTGAAAGACTGAGAAGTATGTGTGATCAGGCCAAACATAAAACAGATCAATCAACACACAGAGAGAGAGAGAGAGAGAGAGAGAGAGAGAGAGAGAGAGAGAGAAATAAACAATAAAGCCTATTCATTTCACCTGATAAGATGAAGAGATTCATGTCCATTGCTGAGTGAGTCCTGAATACACTGAGAGAGAGTGAGTGTCTTAGAGGAAGAGAGGAAGAGAGGAAGAGAGGAGAAGGGGAGGAGTGGACAGAGCTGCTGTTAGAGGACATTTGCTTAGTGTTTTTGTGGAATGAAACAAAAAGGAAAGAAAACTTCCTAGTATCACAGTCTACCAGAAACACACAAACCACGAATAAGAAGCAAAAGGGAACAGAATGTAACAGCTTGGGGAAAAAATACGTGTGTGTGTGTGTATATAAAATACACAATCAAATAAAACTGAAACAAACACAAAGTCATTCAAGCTTTAATACCTTTAATATAGTCTTTCATTTTGTTTAAATGTGCTGCTAAATCTGACTGAACTGATAAGTTGATCTGTGAATCATCAGCATGACAAAAAACCAGCATTGTTATGACCCAGCATTATGAAGCAGGGGCTGTAAGTACAGTGAAAACAATAGGGGACCTAAAATGGAACCTTGTGGGACACCATAATGCACTCTTTTAGGCTCTAAAAATCTTCACTAACTGCACATAATGTGCCAGATTCCTGTAACTCACTGCCAGATTTGCTGTGATGTTAAAAGTAAATAAAAATAATACCTGAACCCCTCTGATGTTCATTTTCCCAGTAAGAAGCTAACGTGGATTGAATGAAATTTTCTACAGTGTTTCCAAACAAGTTCAGTTACACACAGCAAAATCGCACACACACACTCAGCTGATTAACCAGTATTTTAAAAGGACGCATGTTGATCTGTTTGGATGGAGCAGCATGGCAAACCTTCTAACTGCTGTTGTACAGAACAGAGGAGAAAACAGACTTGCTTAAGCAGGGTTTCAAATCAGCAGATTAACTTAAAACAGCCTCTTCTTCCTGCATCAAATTTGATGTTTGGTTATTACATATTCAAATTGATTTTATTGTAATCATTAAGGATCCTTTCAATTTTACAAAGCAATTCAGTTTACACATCGGTTGTAAAATCCAAAAAGGCCAAAATATAGAGAATGACAAACATAACAATATCAGAGAACCAGATCCAAACGGGCAATAACAAAAAGGCAACGTCAGGGAGTCCAAAAACACTGTCAGGAAAACATGAAGGCAATATAACAGACAGAAACGCTTAGTAGTCCTACAGAGGGACGTAACACCTCACAACAAACCTAAATTAAAGTGAAATGCGAAGCGAGATCTAGTCAAAGGATACACATAGGTGAAACAGGTTAGTACTCAGGTGAACTGGAACAGTGATTGGTGGATTGTGGAGGTTCATCTATCACGTGATCTCCCAGAGAGTTCTGGGAAATGGAGTCTGAACGAATGTCAGAACCGGAGGGATGCACGAGAGTACCACCCCCCCACTCCCCCCCACCACAAAGAGTCCATGGATGGCCAAAGAACAGGGCCGACCGCGACAACCACTTCCCCATGACCAGATGCATGACAGGAAGCACACCCAGAGCTGCTGCAGTGCTGGACAGAAGGGGGCACTCCTATAACAACAACCTGGGTGTGAACTGAGTGAAAATCTGTCTACTACAGTGAGTACTGCAGTGAACCCTTATAATTCTGGAAAGTCTGTGACAATCAAGCACAATGTGGGACCAGGGTCTACTGGGCACATGCAGTGGCATCAGTTTGCCACAAGGTAATATCCTCAGTGTTTTACACTGAGAGCAGATATCAGTTTGCAAGTAGCTGCTGCATTCTGGATGGCCCATAGTAAGAGATGAATGAGCCCTAGTGATAAGGCTCTAATCTGGAACTCTAGACTGAAGTGGTATGTAAAGTTTGTGGGTCTGAAATAGCAGTGTTTTCAAGAGCTTTTCAATTTCCTCATCTGTATCCCACCAGAATGAGATTTTAACTTGTGGGGGCAGAATATTTTCAGGTTCCTGATTTCTGGCTGTATCCTCCTGTACTTGATAATGAATCAGCCTTAGTGTTGTGGGATCCTGGGTGAAAGGAAATACCGAAATTGAATCTAGAAAAGAATAAGGACCAGCGTGCTTGAAGGTAAATTAATCATCTAGCGGTACTGAGATATTCGAGGTTCTTGTGATCAGTTAGGACCATGAAAGGGTGTTTAGCACCCTCTAACCAGTGTCTCCCAAAATTCCCAATCTCCAATGCTATAGTTGTGTTCTGTGGGTGTAAATTTATCCAAGAAAAATGCTATGGGGTGTAACTTGTTCTCCAGATCTTTGAGGCAGAACAGTGCCCACCCCAGTCTCTGAAGTGTCTACCTTGACAATGAACAGATCAGATGGATCATGGTGTTTTAACACAGGGTGAGATGTAAATGTTTCTTTCAGGGTAAGAAAAGCACTCTGAGCCTGTGGAGACGAATTAAACATTGATAAAATTGTGGTCTTCTATAACAATTCCATTAGCACTAATAATGTAACCCAGAAGGGACACAGGCTGCAAATGAAATTCACACTTTTCACCTTTTACATAAAGACTACTCTCCAGAAGTCATTTGAGGACTGAACGGACCTGTTGGATGTGGGTTTCTAGATCAGAAGAATAGATGAGAACATCATCTATATATACAATAACGAATTTTCCAATCCTGCCATGGAGTACATCATTAATAAATGCTTGAGGGAGCATTCGACAGGCCAAACGGCATGACTAAATACTCATATGTCCATGCATCACCCTCTTATACCAGAATGTAAACACTACACAGATCCAATTTCATGAAGTATTTTGCCCTTCCCAGCTGCTCTAATGCTACAGGTATGAGTGGGAGTGAATTTGAATGTCTTACTAATCTGGTTCAGGCCTCAATAGTCTAAACAATGGCAGAGACCACTGTCCTAGTGTTATCTATGAGATCTATGGAGCAATCGTACAGATGGTGAGGGGACAGCTTGGTGGCCTTTTATTTGTTAAAGACTTTGAGAGTGTCAGAGTATTCATCAGGGATGTTATAGGGATTGTCAGTATTGGGGCGATCAACAAAGTTAGATGTAACAGTAACAGATGGATAAGTGATGCAGTTTTGTGGGCAAAAGTCTGACCAGGAGATTAACTCATAAGTGGACAAGGAAAGCACGATGCATCACATTGCATGGGTTCTTTTGGTTCATTGGTTTAGGCATTGAGACTGGTAGATTAACTCTTCTTTTAGCACTTTGGTGTCTGCGGTCACAAATAAGTTGGTTGGTTGACGAGTTGATCTAATAACAAGTCATCATCTCTACAAGCTAACTCAGTGAGAATTTCAGGATTCAGTCCTTGTTGAAACAAAACCAATAAAGCTGGTTCCTTCCATCCACTACCAGCTGTCAGGGTGAGGAGGTCTGCCTAGTAATCTCAAACTGAATGACTACCTTGGTGGAGTTTTGTTAAAAGTTCACCATTGACTTTTCCTTCATGAGGGTGATCAAAAACCATATGAATGACTTCAACGACTGTTTGTAGGATTGGTTCTGGGCCTTGGCCAGATAGCGGTCAGACATGATACTAAGAAAAGATATTTTAGTCTGATCAGAGCTCGAAGGAGATTTATTAAATACAAATCAAGCACTGGAGTAGAAAACGCTGCATTTCTCAGGGTTACCATCAAACTTATCAGGCTTACTGACCAAAAAGACTGAACTAGATATTAACAGGGGTGGAAACATTAGCGACATTCTCACTCTTGGCAGACATACCTAAAGGTTATAGTTGAGATGTCAGCTCTTTCATGTTGGCAACTAACTGAACTAGTTGTGTTTGTTGTTCTGTTTGCTGTTGTGTCAGAGCTTCAAGAGAGTGAGTAACGCCCACCAAAACCTGTTGGTGTTGCCCGAGCAGATGGCCTTGAGTAGTAATGGCCTTCTGGAAAGCCTCATGGTCCACCTTCTGCGCTGATGGTGAGGTATTATACAACGGGACAGAACCAGCCAGACACTCACAGTAAAAAACAAGTAATGAGACTTTACTGTTAAAGGGTTTGACAGCACTCAAAGTTGGTAGACAGGTGGTGGTCAAATCCAAAAAGGCCAAAATACAGAGAACGACAAACATAACAAACAATATCAGGCAACCAGATCCAAAGGCAAAGTCAGGAAAACACAAAGGCAATATAACAGACAGAAACACTGAGTAGCTCTACAGAGAGAAGCAATACCTCACTGAGAACCTGTACTAGAGCTGGCTTAAATACTGAGCTAGATCTATTCATATGATACACATAACAGGTGAGACAGGTTAGTACTCAGGTGAACTGGAATGGTGATTGGTTGATTGTGGAGGTTCATCTGTCATGTGATCTCCCAGAGAGTTCTGGGAAATGAAGTCTTTATGTATGTCAGGACATGACATAAAAACATTTTCTGATGTAGAACCGTTGTTTTTTTATTAAAAGTTAAAAGCTTTTTAACAAATAATTTAATATAATTTAATAATACTTTTCTTAGTTTTGTTTCTTTAATCATGTCCATTTTTGGCACCCAAGTGAAGATTCCCTTGGTGCGTATGACCTCATTTAAATGTGGATCTTACTATCTTATTATTTAAAACATTTACAAAACATATCATATTCCCTCTTTGGTCAGTGTTTACAGGTTTCCTCATCTCAACTGAAATACATGAAATTTGATCTTAAAGTTAAGATCTTAAAGTTTATGTTCACTTAACTTGGAAATAATTTAGGTTGTGCCTGGTTTGGCCAGCTGAGGGCAGTGAAGACTCTAATAACTAATCATGGTATGACGAGTTAGAGAAATTATTCAGAGGCAAAAAGAGTACGGATAATTTCTGCTTAAGTATGAGTAGTGATTATTTACTTGAGCACAAGCAAAATAATAAAAAAGGAAATGATGTAAGTAAGCTGTTTATTGGAAAACTATTTGAGGAAATGTTTTGAGTCACTTTTTTATAACACCATGACAATCAGACAACATTTCTAAGTTGACGGTAATATAATTGGAAAAAATTGCATGACAGATAAGCAGTTCTGAGTCCTGAGTTTAATCATATTATGCTCTGACAGCTAAGGTTGGGCCTTAAGGTTAGGATAGATGATGCCATCAATGGCTGGCAGCTGTCGGTCTGAACCCCCGGACGTTTTAGTCAGAGGATCCTGTTTACATCCTAACATTACACCAATTATTCACTAGT